GCACTCTCTATTTAGTAGTAGTATTCATTTGTAAAAACAATATTACTTTTGGGTGGAATGTAATTTCCTAAGTATTCAATTCCTTCTAAAGCTTGTTTGTGATTTATGCGATTGATCAGTCTTCTATGTTTTTTTTTTTAACTTTATATGTAAATATATATAAATATTCTTTGTATTTAACAAAATATCGTTCTCATGGTTTAAGCACGTTCAACTTGTAGATGTTGCTCGTGTTGAAAACCTGCATGAGCGTGTAATTCTTGGTGNNNCAGGTGTACATCGATAACGTCGATGCGTAGCCGTTCAAAAGGTATGGTCTCGAGAACCTGTAGCTCTGTGCCTCTGGTTTCCAGAATCAGGTAATCGACTTTAGTCATGTTCATGGCCAGAAGCAGCGAGTAGAGAGGGAAACACTTGACGCGTGTATTAAATAAATTTCTAAATCTTTCTTCCTGATGGTAGGATACTTCTTTGGGGTAAGGAGCTGGACTCAAGCAGCCATGCAACAACTGAGATTTCGCGCGATTGTGTCTCTTCAGGTTGAAGAAATGCCTGGGATCAGGCTGGACCAGCAGCCCTTTCCAAGATAATTTCTTCTCAAGCCACTCAGTTTCCGATGTTTTCCCATCTCCATAAGCTCCAGCCTCAACAAAGTTCCCATTCATCTGCAAATTAATTATTAATAATAAAATAAAAATAATATGGGGGATGCCATTACCTTATTATTTAGTATTTTCAGTAAATACTCTATGTGCTCAGAAGGAGATTCAGCTATGTATTCGATGGGTTTGTGATGTGGCTCTACACCTGGTTTTAAGAAGTATTGCTTGATTGCGGATATCAATTCTGGGTTATCCTGGCTGACACCAAGCAGCTCGTAATCTTGGGTCATGTTAACATTGAATTGATGGTGCCTGAGAGCTTTAATAATCAATATTAGTGTTTAATTTGATGAATTAATGTTGTTATTACCATTGTTGTCCATGTAAATCAATAGTAGAGTCATAACAGTGGCAAATCCCATGAAGAAGGCAGTAATTGGGAGAAGCTTCTTAAGGGCGAACTGGCTGGGAGGGTTTGGTGTCATCTTTGTGGGGGTAGGCGGCAGCTGTGGTAGTGGCACGGGGGCCGCGTTGATGCAGCTCTGCTGTTGTTGGGTCATGTTGCATATCTTGGTCATATGCAAGACACTGGAAATCGCGTGTATCGATTTATAAATAAGTAAGCACGTTGAATAAGCATTCCTTCGCGACTGTTGTGTGGGAATAGCAATAAAAGGCGAACGAATAAGGGAAATTAAAACAAACAGAAAAGTTGTAAAAAAAAGGAATCACTCTCCCAGCATTTCTTTCGGTTCGTTGTTGTCGCGAAAACAAACGTGAAATGCGGCGATGAGTAGTCGCTGCGTCCTGCCTGTAGAGATGATGAGGAAGACCAGCTGTAAGAGGTAAGAAAATAAATGCGGCGATTTTGAATCACATTGACGCGCGCGCCATCCACCGCACAGGACACACTGCGCGGTCGGTCTCTCTTCAACCGAAGGGCCGAATGCTTATACGTGAGTCCTAGCCGTCTTAGCACGGTCCACAATCCGGAAAGGTGAAAAGAATATTTGGTGGCCACACTGGGCCACACTCCCTAAGATTACTGTCACAACTGGTCACAACTGGTTGACTGTTACCACGAAAAAGGAAGACTCACGAGCTGCTGGTCTCGTTCCCAGCCCATTAAAGTAATCCATTCAATAAAAAAATAAAAAAGAAAAATAAGAACGAAAAGAAGCTAATTAAAATAGCATCACATCAGCGGAAATTGAGTCATTTCCCATTCTCTGTATGTGTCTCCTTGGAACGCAATTTATCCCAAAGCAAATATCCAATTACAATGTCGCTGCTGCTACGTGTTTCAAGATATGGAAATGTTGTAGCTATTATTCTAATTCAGTTATATTGTCGTGTCCCAGGGATGGAATTCTGGACACAGTGGAATATATGGTGTTTTCGTTGTGGGGTCTCAGTTGAAGGAATTAAATAATTCGTTTGGTTTTAAACAAGTTTACAATAATTGGTACTCTTGAGGTCCTTTTCAAGACAATGTCGATACTTTGATAGTTTGACTAAGACTATGCTTACCTTAGGTCTTTATGAGAATATGCTTGTCATATTAGCGTTTTTCTGAGACTATGTTTGTTCTCAAACGTTCTGCTGAGACTTTATTAGTCTTTAAAGGTTTTACTGAAACTAATTCTAAATATTTATTCTACTTACAAAGTTATTTCTTATTAATACGGGGTGGGAGTTGTGATCGGGAGTAGGGCTTGTATATATTGATGATTATATAATTATGGATAGTTTTTTCAAAAGCAATTTTTCTTCATCACTAAATATGAAATTATTTTAGCTAGTTTTTTTGTTAGTTAAATACAAACTGTAAATCGTAACCTAATGATTTAGCAAAAGTGAACGTTGAAACTTCTCCATAAATTATCAAATCTTTATTAAGGATCTCTTTAGGAAATGCTATAATAGCATCCCATAAATTTATGGGGGAAATAAAACCCGAAAAATATTATCATTTCGAAAGGACATTAAATAACAGGAACGAAGAAACGTACTTTAAAAAATATATACAAATAGTTATTGAATAGAGATAGACAGAATCAGAACGAGATTTTTCAATTTCGAACACATTCGTGACAAATAAATGTTGGTCTATATAAGTGGTTCCCACAGGTTCCATGTAGACTTCTTGAGGTCGATTGAATTTTGAAAATGATGAAAAAATATACATTTATATATATATTTACTTTCAATCATTCATAATCTGCCACAATTATAACAATGAGTTGAACAGTGTTTGGACATAGACAAAAAAAAACAAAATAAATAGGCATGGAGCGGAACGATTTCCCATCGTAAATCTTCCTATAAACAAATATAAATTTAACAAAAAAATAATTCAATAACAACCCAACTAAAAATTGATTTTGACGACACTCTGAAACTTAAATCAAAATAATCACAAGAACACAAACTTCTA